CGCCCACCTCATCATTCACCCCCGGGGGAGAGACGGGCAGCCACTCATTGAGGTGGAGGTCAGGGTGGTGCTTGGCATGTGGGCATGGGCAGTGGTGGGGCAGCGGGAATGGGAGGGTGGGATTGAGTGGAATACGTGGGTGGTGGGGTCATAAGGTGTGTGGCTGGTGGGGTTAGAGGAGTCTGGATGGGTTTGTGGGGGTGAAAGGAGGGTGTATGGGTCCAGCTATAGGGTTGGTGGGGCTGTGGGGTTGTAGGTTCTCTGGGGTGCAGCATGGTAGGTGTGGATGGCCGGGCTGGGGGGCTGTAGGTTGGCTGGTCTTTAGGGCTGTATTGTGGGTGGGTGGAAGTGCTGATCTGTGAGCTGGCTGGTTGTAGGTGTGGATGGATAAGCTGTAAGGCTGCAGGTGGGCTGGGGATGTAAGGGTCACAGGTGTGGGTGGCCGGGTTGAGTTGTAGGCTGGCTGGCTGTAGGCTGACAAACGTGTGGATGACCTGGTCCTTCTCACTTCCCCAAAGCTGGAGCTGCCTGTTCCCAGCGGTGACCTCTCCAGGACACCCTGGGGTCCCTCCAGGGCACATCTGGCCAGTTGCACCCTCCTCCCCGCAGGCATCTCCAGCTCCTCAAACTGGCCCACTGAGCCACCTCCACAGGGCTTTGCCGTGCCCAGGGAGGCTGCCACTGCCCAGTGGGTACCAGCAACGTTTGCACATCCCCAGAGCTCTCCCCTGTGCACCTCCAGCCCTGTCCCTGTCCCTCCTGCCCCGTCCCCATGCTCCGGCTGCTTGCCTGCTCCTGCTGCTCCAGGCTGATGTCCAGGGGCTCGTCGTCATGCAGCTCCCGCTTGGGACGGATGAAGGCAGGCGGAGTGAACCTCCGCCGCGGGGTCGGTGGCTGCTCCCGCAGCCCGTCCTTAAAGGCTGACACGGCCAAGCTGACCTTCTGCACCTTCTCCACCGTCTGCCGCCTGGACATCAGCACCCCCATGGCTCTGTCGGGGGGACGAAGGTCTCCATGCTAAGGCCTCCTGGTGCAGCGCTGCTCCCCACCCCTGCACCCTGTCCCTGGCCCCAAAAATGTGTCCCGGTGGCTGTCCCCCAGCCATGAGGGGAGCATCTCGGGGCAGGGAGGAACAGGGGCTCCTTGGCAAGGTGACGCTGGGGTCTTCTGTAGTGGCCATGGGGAGATGGACCTGAAGCTACATGGAGTTCTGGCCATGGAGGGTCTGAGAGTTGGTGAGGGAGAGGGACAGCAGCTGGTTTGGGGACACTCTGCCTCTCCCATCCCTGCTCTGCAGGCTCCGGCTTAACAAGAAACACATCCATGTCCTTCCCAGACAGACCCATAAATCCCAGAGGGGCTGGGACCAGCTGTCACCCCGCCCCTATCTTGCATCCCATTCTGCCTTGGAGAAAGTTAACAACCATTAATGAAGTTAATGTTTTTAAGCTAAAAGAAGGCAGATTTAGACTGGGTATAAGGAAGAAATTGTTTACAATGAGGGTGGTGAAACACTGGCACAAATTACCCAGAAGAAGTGGTCAATGACACATCCCTGGAAACATTCCAGGCCAGGTTGGACGGGGCTCTGAGCAACCTGAACTAGTTGAAGGTGTCCCTGCTCACTGCAGGGGGGTTGGGCTAGGTGGCCTTTAAATGTCCCTGCCAACCCAAACCAGTCTATGATTCTATGACGATTCTGTGAAAGGCTCTTTGGCCAGCCAAGGGCGAGAGGTGTCCTCCTTTCAGCTCTGCCCAGGGCTGGGTCATAGCAGAGCTGATGCTGGATCTCTTACTTTCCCTAAATTTCAGTTCACTCCCGAGTCTTTCTCCTGCTCACATGCTTGTGTGTGTGTGTTTGCTGCTGCCCTGATGGCTGGACATCCAGCATCCCACCCCAAAAAGTGGGTTGGGTCTGGCTCACAGCAAGGAGCCATGTGGGGGGGCTGGGCCAGCCATGGGAGGTCTGCGAAGGCGCAGGAGGGAAGGGGAGCAGTGCATGGGTCTGGGGTGTATGGGTCCCAAGAAGGGGGTTTGGGTGCAGGACCGAGGGAAGATCATCTTAGGGTAAAAGGGGGAGGGCAACGACAGCAGCAATAGCAGATCAGGCTCTGCCTCAGTGGCGGTGGGCTTGGGGAAGGGTGTGCTGAAGCTGGGGAGAAGCAGGATTTGGTCTCCAGTGGCGTAGGTGCCCCGCTGGGGTTGCGCTATGGGAGATGCTGCGGCCGAGAGCCGCTCCAGGCTGGTGCCCGGGAAGCAGCAGGCAGCACTCCCTGCCCATGCAAGTGGGGGGACACCGCAGCGGCCATCACCCGCCCCGCTGGCCTCAGCAGGGAGGTCCCCCGCTAATTACTGAGATAATTAGCCGCCACCGTGA